ATATATATATATATAAAATGTCCATGTTTTGGTTGTTTAATGGACCTTGTTACAGAAACAGTCTTGTCTCCATATGTACCACGTCAGTACTTGTATCTAACCATAGAGCTGCCTGATAAGTACCAGTTATGTATTCTGTAAACATATATCTGTGTGTACTGGGCTGTATTATGTACTGCTAGGTGGTAAACTGCTACATGTTTTCTGGGTGTAGGGCATCTCCATGGCAGAACTGTTGGAGTCTCACATTAAGAGCGATCCAAACTTTGAGGTTCCTGCTGAGAGGCACCTGGGCCTGGTGGTCTTCTGTCTGAAGGTCCGCAGCACCGCTTCCATCTAAACGTCTACTGAACACCAGAGCAACAGGTTTAAGAGCTGAACCTGTTGTGATTTCATGAGTGCAGGCAGGAAACGCTTCGACCCAGGAGCTGCTGAGGAGACTGACCCGCTCCGGCACCATCTACCTCATCCCTGCAGAGATCCACGGCAAGAGCATCATCCGCTTCACCGTCACCTCCCAGTTCACCACTGCAGAGGACATTCAGAGAGACTGGGGGGTCATCTGTAAAACCACCTCGGCCCTTCTCGCCGAGACGCAGGGTCTGAACAAGCAGCCGAGGGCAGCCGAGGACGAGCCGAGGGCAGCTGAAGATGAAGCGCTGCAGTCAGAAGATGTGGTCACCCAGCTGGAGAAAGCTCACCTGGACCTGTGGATCGACAAAACCTGGAATCAACCTCGAAGGCCCATGAGATCTCTGAGCTGCAGCAGCGAGCCCCTGCCCCACGCTTACATCGGGTCCCTGCTGGGCCGGGACCTGAGACCTGGCCTCAGAGAGGCCTCAGGTGGACCCCCATCGACCCCTGAACCTGGCTCCAGGGAAACCGTCACTGAGATGCCCTCCGACCTCCCGGGCCAGCCGGTCCTGAAGAAGCTAACCAAGTTCTACAGCATGCCCAGTTTCTGCAACCAGTGGGTCCAATGTGGTCGGAACCAGCTGTGCTGCCCCCCGATGGTCTCTCAGGGGTCTCAGAAGCACAACTGCAGGAGAAGAAACTGTCCTTCTTCTCCTGCCAACAACACGGCTGCCTCTGCTGCGTCTCTGAAAGCTGCAGCTGCAGCCGAGCTCCTGGAAGAACCCTGAAGGGTCCANCCAGAGGCCTGTTGCACGAATCTATAAGGGATTAACCCAGGATTTTGGCAGAGTTGTAAAGTAACTAAGTACAAATACTTTGTTACTGTACTTAATTAGAATTTCTGGATATCTGTACTTTACTTGAGTAATTATTTTTCAGCGTACTTTTTACTTTTACTCATTACATTTTTACACAATTATCTGTACTTTCTACTCACTACGTTTTTAAAAAGGTAAGAAGTAGAAAGTTGTTACTCCTGTTTTATTCTGAGTTATTACTTAATAAAAAATCCTCTCCTGATAAACTGTGTCTCCTGGATAGAGTGAATTTAATTGTGTTTGGATGAGAAGTATAAATATAT